CGCATTGGCATACATCTGTTTTTTTTCTCACCTAACTAATTTCTAACTGATTCATTTTCTAATGACAGAATGTAATAAATATTCAGTGGAAATATGAGCTGTGGGGAAATTCAAGTGGAAAGTAACCTTTTAAATTACTGGCATTTTTTTCTTCTTTTAAAAACTGTGTAATAGATTTACAATCAAAAACAAAGAGAATACGTTTTAGCACCGTATAAACCGTATATTTTCCGAGTGTACTTTTTACAACCTAAAAAATAAGATCAGCAATGACAGCAGTAGGTAAGAGTTGGTAATCCCAATTAAAAGTCTGTAAGACCTTAGGAAAGGGACACTGAGTGTTGTTGTCAACCCAGAGCCTATTACAGAGCTGTGGGGTCCTGACAGTCCCGCTGTCTCTGTCTCTTCGTCCAGCTTGGCCTCAGGCGGCAGTCATCAAGAATGGGTCAGCAGGCCTCGGGCTAAATATCACCAACATATTGAGAGAAAGAAGGTCAGCTTTGCAGGAAGTGGGCAGACACAAAAAAGAATAAAAAAAGAAAAAGCAGTAAATCTGTTCTAAAATGCAATAGTAAGCAGAGCAGCAATGCCAAAATTCTGAGAAGTGCACAAATTCTCTGCGATTTGTATGCACTTTAGCTGCTCCAATTTTATACCGACTAGAGGCGGTCGATCGATTTCTGGGGCTTTCCAGCAAATAAAGAGTTACTCTGATCTAATCAGCTGGAGACAAATGTAGCGTTTGTGTGTCTGGTCACAAATGGAGCAATCAAATCTTCGCTTGTATTCCTGAGCTGACAAAGAACACCCTTTGTTACTTTGCTAAAAGGGGTTGGTGAAATTTTAATCCGAGCCAAGGATTTCTTGGCTCTTGTTGTGGTTCCAGACCCAGCTGGACCGAATGTACGTATGTCTCAGATAGTGTGTGTAATTTAGGAGCACAGTCTCTCTGCCAGATATCATGTTGTCATTTATCAGCCCTGAAATTATATTCAGCTTGAATAAATTTGGTAATTACATTTCCTCTGTTTGTTATCTGATGTTCTGCTGCAATAAGTCGTTTGACATGATGATGTATTAATAAGAGTTGTGCCTACAGCGCCTCAGTGTTTCTAAAAGAAAGCACGTTAACGACAGGCCGTTTAAGTATGGAGACAAACGTCTCTGTCAAAGCCGATTTTTCATACTTGAACCAGCTCCTGATAGCTTCTCCCTCTTAACCTTGTCTGTTCCTGGACTCCAGCCACATAAAGGTGTATGTTTCTGCACCACAGGGACGCAGCGGACTGGGCTCCATCTTCGTCTGGGCTTCGGGTAATGGTGGCCGGGAGCAAGACAGCTGTAACTGTGACGGCTACACGAACAGCATTTACACCCTGTCCATCAGCAGCACCACGCAGTCCGGCAACGTGCCGTGGTACAGCGAGCCCTGCTCCTCCACCCTCGCTACCACCTTCAGCTCTGGAAACCCGGGGGAGAAGCAGATAGTAGGTGTACAAACACACACGCTTACATGCTCTTTAAAGATCTCAGATTTTGTGTAGGATTGTTTTTAATACTTTGAATCTTTGGCACCCTGTAAATGTCAAGTTTGACAGCACAGCTACACGTCCCGCTTACCAAAAGTTCATGCCGACGCATCCAAATTGAACCCGTTTTGAGTGTTTATACACATTAATGTTGTGTCTCTCAAATAGAAAAAAAAAGACTTCAAAATGTCAAAGTCTGAGTGATGTGAAACATACAATGAGCAAACACGACAAACACTGAGAGATGCCATGATTCCTTCGAGCTGCTTGTCACCCGAAGAAAGACTTGCTTCAGGGACGCAGAATAACATAAAACAACCATAAATCTGCCATTCCCTCCAAATTACACCAGAGGCGTGCTGCAGGCAAGTAAATACAACTCCAAATGAAATGGGTAGAAGTGAAGTCATTTTAAAATATACATGAGCACTTGCGTTGTATTGTTGCTTTAGCACGCAGAGGCTGCCGTTTGGTGCAGTACCCAGTGAGTTTATGCAATTTCCGTTTGTCCCAAACTAGTATTTATTTTCACTCTGTTAGATTTCTGTTTCTCACAATCATGCACTACCAAGTGGCTCATTTTGTGAGCGTATTTGGTCACCTCCATCTCCAGAGATTACACATTTTTTTCCCAACTGGAGCGAGAGAAAAGCAAAACATAAATTCCCGTTTTTCTAACTAAAATGGCAGCGACGGCACTCGGCTGTAATTAACTTCATCTGTTGTGCACACCTAGATGGAATAAAATGTGGCTGTTTGCCAAAAATAAACACATTACCACCGAGTGGCACAAAACACAAAGTTCACTAATTGGCCTTCAAGGCACAGTGTGCTGTTGCTACAGAGAAAAAGTAAATACGCTATATTTTCACAAAAATAGGGCTTTCAAATAATTAAATGGCACAATTAAAGCACTGATTGTTATTTTACTAAAGGTTAATAATGTTTTCTTATTTTGAAATTTTATGAATAATAATGTGCACAGGTTAAACTGTAGCCAGAGCTACAACTAGTATGTATTTATTGTAAACGTAGGTGGGGGTTTTTTCAGTTCACTCCATGAATTGTTGCATATTCTTCCTCATATATTCCTGATATTTGTTGTCGTCTGTCTTACCTTTGTTATGATGCTCTGTCATGTCAGGTGGATTCTGAAGTGGTTGTACAGGCCGCACCGGATTTTAAGCCGTATGCGTTTCACTTGTAATATGAGATATTTACACAGAAATATCACACATGAGGATTTTTAACGTTTAATTTAATCCGTAAGGTAACATAGACATGGTAACTTAAACGTTAACTGCAAATGCTTTTTTTCCTCGAACAGCGCCTGTAACACGGCTACCTTTAAGTATACGTACGTATCGGTAACACACAAATTTCGTTGCTTATGGTTTTTTTACAGAACAGTGCACAAACAACATTATGTCGTCTCTTAACAACTGGTATATACCGTATATATACTACTTATCAATTTTATTAAATGTTTTTGGCCGCTTGAAAAAAAGAAATGCATTAGCCGCACGTCAGTATAAGCCGCAGTGTTCACAGTGTGGGGGAAAAAGTAGCGGCTTATGACCCGAAAACTACGATAGACCTGAAATGGCGATCTGTCGTGTACTTGTGGCAGACCTCTCAGATGGTGGTTTAATTTGGTTTGCTTTCTTCTGTTGTTGCCTCTTTTGCTGTGTTCTTTTAGTTCTGATCCCTTTGGCAACTTTTGTGCCAGTTTTAGTCACACTCCACCAGATTGTGCAAACAGAAGCTGCTTCTTCACAGTTGTCAGTGTTGATGTGGCGTGCCTTCATGTCACACTTTCATATGTCCTTGAACCTCGAGTCCAGGTTCCCCCTTGGGCCTGGCACCATGGGGATTCTGCCATCATCTATGTTTCACATGGCCAAACCGGCACATGTGGCATTGCATAAGCAGCTTTTGCATGCCGGAAGTCTCAGTTTTGTGCGACTCTAGTTTGAGATATTTTGTCCTTCTATGTGATTCCAAGGCTTAGACAACTTAGACGAAAGCTGTTCTTGCTTCGTGATGGGACTATGTCCCCCAAGTAGTCACTGCAGTACAACAGGTGCTCTGTAGGCACAGATTTTTGTTGCTAGGATTAGCTTCTTGTTTTTCCACACTGAGTTTTATCCACATCCTGACCCATGACCGTGGTGTTTTTGATGCTTAAAGTAAGGCCAAATTCATTTCAGGCATGTGAAAACCTATTAAGAACCTCAGAACCGACAGCATGAGTAACTATTCCAAAGTCATGAGCAAACATCAGCTCATAGATCTGCTGCTCTGACTTGCTCTGACTTGCTCTGACTTTTGTCTTGGCTGGTAATATTGCCAAGTTGAACAGTTTGCCAGTGTCAGTTTGTGAGTGTCAGAAGGAATTTTGTGAAGAAGATCCCAAACAGCGCGACTGCTCAGATACTTTCAGGAGCGTTTCCACTTGCAAGGCAGCTGATGCCCTTTTCCAGCTTGTTCAGTGTTGGTTCTGCATCTCACTTCTCCAGTTAGCTGAGGAACAGTGTTTAGTGCAATTTCTGTGACTTTGTTCTCTGTGCCATATATTTCAACTTAGCATTCCACCAATCTCTCCATCTGTTTATCTCCACCAGTGATAAACTCACCAGCTTTGGACTTGAGGAGCTGTTTCGGAATCTGTTGGACCCGTTGCTTTCTTCATTCCTTCAAGCATACCTCTGATGTTTCCAGTATCAGTACCTTGTGTGTGCATTTCATAGCAAAGCTGCACCTGGTATTTATTAGCACAGCATCTAGTTGTGCTGTATGTCTGCCAGCTCTCAGATCTTCTAGGCTTTGCTTCTGCTTGAACGAGGCAGGCCTTATAGCTTTTATCAGTGGCTTCATTTCTGGCCATCAGCATCTACGCAGTGAGAATTCTTCCTCCTCCTTTTCCCAAACACTATGACAGTTCTATCATATGTGATGCTGCTTATGGAGCCCCACAGTTCAGCTGCGTTTTCAAAATAGTCAACATTTTGTGGAAGATTTTGATTTAGAGTATCCAGATTTTTTCCCATTTGTATTTGATTTTATAAGAAGCAGGTGTTGAAGTGTGCAAGGGTTTTATATTCTGGAATAATGAGGTTTCTCTGGTTGTACTCTCAGCTTGCAGCACCTAATATTCCTAAAATGAAATCTCAAAATATAGTAACCCTATTAGTCCTTCATATACTTTGTGCTTTTGGTGGGAGTTGTCCAGTTCGGGAGACATTAGCCGCAGCAGTGTCTGCCTACGCTTGAATATAATTTCATTTAATGGATTTTGGCTTGTGGCACATATTTGTGAATGAATGAATTGCAGAACCATAACCCAGCTATTGTGGGCAGTGTGATTCACAAAGAATTTTCTTTTTTCTGTATACAACTGCTTTTGGTTGGCATTACAGCTTAGCAGAGTGCCAGCAACATCAGCATTTGCATCCTGTCATGAGCCTGAGCCACTTGTCACAGACACAGTTTTCTCTTAAATGAATCACCTCACAACATGGTTGGTGGGTTTTTCTTTTGTAACGGGATCATATTACGACTGAGTTTTTCAGGTGTATTTTTGGCCATAAGCCGATTGCCATTTAGTTCTATTATATTCAAGAGATGGCAGACGTCCCTATAGATGTTATCTCTAAAACTGAGCAACTCACACCAGAATAGTCTCGATAGATAAATAACACTGAATCTGATCTGGGACCTTTTTCTATTTCTAACCTGCTATATGAAAAACTTAATTTGTCTTGTTAGAAGAAAAAAAAAATCAAAAAATGTCGAGTTTTCAGAGTCATAAAACCAAGAAAATGTCTAAAAAGAAGCTGCAGATAGTCTGAGCTGTTATTTACAAAAGATTTCACTCAATATTTAAAAAAAGATATTTTAAGATGAATCAGTTAACTTCCAGCATTTAATCTGTTAAATATTATTGTTTCAGTGTTATTCTGTCCAGGTCCTATATCTAACAGCTGGCCTGTGCAGACACCTGCCCTCCCTTTGTTTACCCCTCTGACACATTTCCACAGATAATGGTCATTAACGCCACAATCTGTCAGGCCAAAAGTTGCAAACCAAGAATCTGTCTCTAACCTTCATAGACCACCTTGCCTTTGGCTTCTTTGTCATTTCTGACATGTCCTCATCGTGACCCAGACAGCCCTCATTAGCTTTCTGGCACTTGCAGAGACCAAGAAGAGAGATGTACGTGGAGTGCTAACATACTCTGTCTCACCACAGCTTGACCTGGCTGGGCTGATTTGGCTGACCTTCATTACCCCAGGCGTGACCCCTTGGCAGGGATCCACAGACCTGAGACTGAACCACCTACTAATTCTCTCCTTCTCCTCTTTTCCATCGCACATAGCTGTGGGGAGAGCTCCTATTGTCCGCGGCCCTCATCTGTCTAGCTCTTAGTTTCTCTGCCTGGGAGCTTCACTCATGTTGAAGTGGGAAACTCAATGTGTCAAATCAACTATGTCTGTCCTCCTGTACTTATTTACACTTTCTCTCTATCTGCTTGTCTCTAAGGTGACCACCGACCTGAGGCAAAAATGCACAGACTCTCACACGGGGACGTCCGCGTCAGCACCGCTCGCTGCTGGGATCATCGCTCTGGCTCTGGAGGCCAAGTGAGTGCCCCTGTATCATCTGTTTCTACATTAGGGAATCAGAAATGTAAAGCTTTTTTTTTAACTTTATGCTACTGTTAACTTAGTTTATTATGATCCACTGCGTGCTACATGTGGGAGTATGTGCGTGGACTCACGTCTGTAAATGCGCAGATGTCTCTGGGAAGGCGGCGTTGGCCTAAATCCCAGCCAAGAAATTCTTTCCACTCCAGATTAAGCTTTTGATAATTGGTTAATTAGTGAGACAAATCAGCAGCTGCAGCCCACACAGACATCTGAATACCTGTAGGGCCCATGGTGAAGATTTTAAACCGGTGAATGTCTCTCATTATTGCTCACTCAGGACTCCAGGTGTCAGAATCCAAGTTTCTGTCAGCAGCTCTAATGTGTTCCCCATTATCTTGAGTCATATCTTGCATGTGTTAAGTCAGTTTTATCAGTAAGCAGTGCTTTACTGTGCATAATTCTCCTCCTTTCCACATTAGTGATTTGCTGACAGCTGTCAAATCAATCCAGTAGTACCACACAGCCAAGTTTCAGTTCTGGTATGCTCAGCGTCTCTGGTTTAACACCGCACAAGAGTCAGTATTTATCAGTGTATAGCCACCCCCCCCCACTCCTCCTGAAGCCCCTCCTGACAGGCAGCTGTAATAACAGGGTAGCTAGTTTATCAGTCTGGGACCGCACTGGAATTCACAGAGATGGAATCATTTAATAGGCAGAGTGTTTTGGCTTTCTGGTGTTTTATTATTTTATTATTTTCTCCTTCGCTCTTGGCTGAGGTGACATTGAGTGGATCGGAGGATCTTGTCCATTAATAACACATGAGAGGATGTGAGATGTGAATGCTGATGTGGAGGTTGGCGGAGGTGATGCACCACAGTGCAATTCCGTGTTTCTATTTCTGACAACTGTGGTGTTGCTCTCGGTAAAGCTCTGTGATTATCTTAACCCACAGAGCAGTTTTTCTTAGTGGTGACTTAAAGGATTCTCTGTTGGATACTTACAGGTAGACCCCTTAATAAATCTATATGAAGGGGAAAAAAATTACTGAGCTTCAACTATGTTGGAGGTGACCCTGTCCCCAACTCACAGAACCTATTAGAAACTATCATTACAGATAGGCATAGACTGTCCTCCACGGTTTAGTTTTACAGTGTTCCCTGACCTTTCAACACAGTAGGTTATGATGTACCTTTGATGCTGGTATTTTACGCCCATGTTAAAACCTTTATGTGAGTCCATAGCTTTGTTTTAGTTGAGTGGCACATCCCTCAGGGTTCCCTCCACCTCTCAGTGTAGTATTTCAACACTGTACGGTTGTTCTCACTGTATATGCTCAGATGGATCACATTTCAGGTCTTTTTATAGTCTTCTGACCTTTTCCGTGTCCCATTGCTGCTCACATTTCCTGGCCTGTATTGTTGTACAGTTGAGGTCATCAAAACCTGACATTTCTCATAATGTGCATAATAGGAAGGTATTAGCCTCACCTATTACATGAGAGAATGTAAATGTGATTATATTTCTTTCTTCCCTGTCTGCGCAGTATGAACTTAACCTGGAGGGATATGCAGCACCTGGTGGTGAGAACATCCCAGCCCGGGCGTCTCAGCGCTGGTGACTGGAAGACCAACGGAGTGGGGCGCAGAGGTAAAAACTCAATACAGTTATTAGACAAATCAAGAGCAGGTGGTAACATGTGGAGTTGTGTCTATGCCTCAATAATGAGTACAAATGGAAAGTTCACTAAAGCGCTCTTTTGAAAATGCCTTGCTTGAGAGCGCTTTGGACGGCTTTGGTTGCTATGATACGGAATATGTGCAGATGTGTTACAAGTACCTACCTGACTGCTGCTTAACTGGTAAACGCTTGGTGAACTAAATGTACCTCCAAGCATTATTTTTATAGTAATGTCGCAGCAGTCCAGGGAAACAGGTCTGTTACACACATGCATACTTGGAGCAGCAGAAATATTAGTTTCTCTTACACTGTTGTTCAACTTTGTTGAACAAGTAAGCTGTGATGGTTGATCAGTATAATATGTGTCTTTCCCTCCAGATGGCAGTATAGCCCAGCCAAGGGATGAGCATTTATTAGCAATTATTTACATTTTTCTCGAGTAAATTTAAATGTTCATTTCTGTTTAGAAAGCTACCCTAAGATTCTGGTTATTACAACTCTTAGTACTTGGTATTTCTTTGCTATTTCTGTGCTAGTTCCATGCCAGAGTGGATTGATGCCCAGTTTCCCAATAACATGCATTTTTTTCCTGATTCAAGTTAAGTAACGAAGTAACTGTGAAATTGTGTTAAAATGATCATATTTTGATCAGTTTGCTATTCCTATGCAGTGCAGACTACTGAATTTAACAAAAACTTTGTATTTGAAATGAAAATGCAGTTATTTTTCCTGTCATGCATAATGTTGTAAGCAAAATATTAATTATCGGGTTAAAGAAAAGAAAATGCAGAAAACAAAGATGTGAATGGCTATGGTGGCCCTCATGGAGCCATTGAATACCATAGGTTATACTGATGAAGTGTGAGCTACCATGTACATGTGGACAAGAACTGATAACATGAACTAACATATTTTTAAACAAATTATATCCCTAATTGTTTATAATGGATACATTTTAGTTTGTTATGCAAAGAACTTGAACAAATAGAAATCTCTTCTCTGCTCAAAGGAAAGTTTTGTCTTGCTTGTTACAGTTCGGCTATAACCATTACTTAACACGACCTGGCTCAAAGGTTTGTGGCCTAGTTGGTGCCGAGTTTAAGGCAGGCCAATCCGATAGGCTGAGACACTGGGTGGGTATATCAGGGTCTGCTTTGAAGTGGTTCAAATCTTATTTGTGTGAACGATCCTTCTCTGGGGCTACCTCTATGTACAGATCCTCTTCTGTTTCTCTTACCTATGGTGTGCCGCAAGGTTCTGTTTTAGGACCTTTATTGTTTTTGTTGTATTTACTCCCTCTTCAGCAAACCTTCTGAGCACGTTTATGGACATTTCTTATCACTGCTATGCAGATGATATTCAGCTATATATCTCCTTTAAGCCACAAGATGTTTCCAAGCTACAGATTTTGCATATACTCCATTAGAGGTTGGATGGCTGATAATTTTCTTCAACTTAATGAGGAGAAAAAAAAGTCCTTGTTTGTGCTCCCGATAAATTTGTGCCCATGGTTTTAGAAAATCTAGGTCCTCTTGCTAAATTTGCCAAACCTTCTATCAGGAATCTTGGTGTAACTTTTGACTCAGCTCTGACTTTGGACGCTCATGTTAAATCTCTGCTTCGCTCCTGTTTTTATCATTTATGAAACAATGCTGAGTCCTATTGTGTCACGCTCTGAACTAGAAATGATCATACATGCATTTGTTTCATCTCGTTTGGACTAGTCTTCCAAGTACTCTCATGTTACACTTCTCCTGATCCAGCTGCACTGGCTCCCCATTAAAGTCAGAGTTCACTTTAAGATTATGACTTTTACATTCAGGGCTTTGCATGGACAAGCACCAACATACATCAGAGATTTCTTACATCCATACATCCCCAACAGGTCCTTGAGGTCATGTGATCAGGGCTTGCTGGTTGTCTATCACACAAGGCTAAATAACTAAAGATGACAGAGCTTTTGTAGCTGTGGCCCCCAGACTCTGGAACTATCTCCCTTTGAGTTTGAGATCTGTTGACTGAGTGGTTTCTTTTAAAAAAAAGAAGAAGAAGAAGTTAAAAACTCATCTTTTTAAACTTGATTTTATGTTTTTGGCTTCAGTGAAGCACTTTGTGATTTTATCTTGAAAGATGCTATATAAATAAAATTTTATATTACTTACTTTTACTTTACTTAGATGAATACATTCAGAATTTCTAGTTCATTTCTTGTGTTCTGCTTTAAGAATAAACATAAATTTTTGTCTTTAGGTTTCATGCACTTAGCGTCTACTTCATAGATGCTCAATTAGTCCTTTTTAAAAAGTAAAACTTGTTTCTATTCGATTAAAGCAGCAATGTTGGCATTCTGTTAGAAACAGTCACACTGGCCAACAGCCAGAAACAGACTTTGAAGAACAACCTGCATTATCTTTTCTGCTAAAGTGTACTTCCTACCAAACTGACACGCATGAACATGCTATGTTTTGCAGCTTATCTTGTTGGAACAGCCGTGAAACATTTACCCAGAAAGTTTTCTGTTGGCATTAGTTTGCAGGGTAGATACTGTAGCCGATAAACAATACATACAGATCTTCATTTAGATGATGGTGTGGTCCCAGCTACACACTGTTTGTCTGCGGCCTGTAGGCTAAAGAATTAGTCTGACTTTGTCTTCCATTCCCTGCCAAGGTTCAGTCTGCCAGCTGCTGTCGTTCATCCACAGAAAGCCATCTGAGACATAGAGAAACTTTTCTGACATTGCCCCAAAGACCCTTTCCCTCCTTTTTAATGATAAAAAAAAAAGAAAATATGATAGGCTGGATAAACCTGTTTATATTATTACTGACTGTCGGTGACAGTTGGACTGTTAAATCCCTGCTGTTTTTAATCACATTTATGGTAAATGGTAAATGGCCTGTATTTGTATAGCGCTTTACTAGTCCCTAAGGACCCCAAAGCACTTTACACATCCAGTCACCCACCCATTCACACACACATTCACACACTGGTTTATGTTCTCAGGCACAGATGAAGTATTGCTGTAGAGAGGATTGTTTGATTGTCATTTCTGTCACTCTGTGCTGCTATCTCATAACCACCACCCACAAAACTGCCATCCGCTCCCTATCCCTCCATTTTGTTTCCTCCACAGTGAGTCATTCGTACGGTTATGGGCTCCTGGATACAGGTGCTCTGGTGGCGTTGGCACAGAATTGGACATCAGTGGGACCGCAGCACCAGTGTGTTAACACGATGCTTTCAGAACCAAGGTTAGAAGGATGACTTAGAGCATGTGTGTGTGGGTTTGTCTGTAAAAAGAGTTTCACCATTATTACAAAGACTTCCTGTTCTATCATATCTCTGACCCTGATGGATGTCGCTGCATTCTCCTCCAAGCCGGGGAGGTCGCTTAAGTTTAAAGCACAGTGCTGTTCGGTGTCCATTTCTGCTTCCACACAACATTAACCACTCTGCCCGCCACTTGTCAAACCTGCAGAGACATCGGGAACAAACTGGTGTTCAGCAAGAGCGTGGATGCCTGCTGGGGACGACCAGAGCATGTCAGCTCCCTGGAACACGTTCAGGCTCGCCTCACTCTCTCCTACAACCAGAGAGGAAAATTGGCCATTCATCTCATCAGCCCGCTGGGTACACACTCCACCCTGCTGTTCCCCAGGTACACAGTAAAAAAACAGGACAACAGCAGCCAGGTCCTAATATAAATCTCTCTTTTTCTGTGCCACACACAGACAAATAATGTGCGTGTCCCTCGGTTTTACTTCGGCACACATGCTCCCAGAGGCGTATTCTCTGAGACAAATACTCAGAGTATGCCTGCTTTCAGATGCAGGGAAAAAACACCAACATGTCCTCTCTTTTTATTTATTCAGGCCCAATGACTTCTCCTCAGAGGGTTTCAATGATTGGGCCTTTATGACCACACACTCATGGGACGAAGACCCTCAAGGAGAGTGGACCCTGGAGATAGAAAATGTAGCACCTAATGGACGTGACTATGGTAACCTAACTCATCTTCATTAATTGCCCGGACTGGTCGCATCACATCAAACCTTCTTCCGTTCCAGCATTATCTTATGTATTTCCATGCTTCTCTTAGTAGCCTCTCTGCAGTTCTTCCTTTTCTCTCCTTTTCTAACGGTCTATAACAGTTTTGGTTCCAGCAGAGAGGCACTTAGAAACTGCTCCAGATTAAAAGTTAAGAGTCTCTGGGCAGAGAACGATTCTTCTGCAAGAAAGTCTTTGGCAACTATTTGATTATCAAAACTTCAGTGTCTTGAGAATGTTTTTCTTTCCAACAACTGGGCTGCACTTTAGCTCTAAAAGCAAATGGCAGCACACCCTGACAGAAAGAGTTGCCATGTTTTCCAGTAGATTTGTTTTCTCTGAGCAGCAGAGGGAAACGAGAGAAACGCCTCTCTTTCTCTGCTGCTGTTGATCCTCCTCCACTGTTGTTTGGGCCACTCACATCACTCGTTTCCTGTCTTTCCACCCCCATATCCTCTTCTCAGCCAGTTCACTCTGTTCCCTCTTTGAGAAGTGCTAAATTGATATTCTCTTTCACCACTTACACCTCCACTCTCTCTGCCTCTGTTCTCCTCAGGTGTGTTGAGTCAATTCACCCTCATCCTGTGGGGTACTGGGCCCAGCATAGTCAACCCCTCGTCCCCTGACTTCCCTCGGCCGTCCAACAACAGCTGCAAGACATTCGATGCCCAGCAGATCTGTATCGGTGAGATCGATCGGCCTTTCACTGTCACGCATGAGCCACTTAGGTTGAATAGATTCATTTGTATTGGCGCCGGCATACAGTCGTTGTTACCAAACAGGCTTTGGGTCAGACTGTGTTGAGCATTTCAGTTTGTGAAAAGTGAATGTTGTGAATACAAATTGGCAATTTACAAGCCTCTTGCGCATCTGTTTATGTGCGCACAATGAATACGCACGTTGCCATATGTCATATCAAAGAGTGGAACGTATTGCGAGCAGCAGGGGAGATTTAAACTGCGCCAGTGCCTCAGGTGCATGTTGTCAGCAAGGGTGACTTCCTCAGTGAAAAACAGACGAAGTCAAAAATTATTTTATGTTTCGAGTCAGGCGCTTTCCTCTTAATCATTTTAGACATTTCAAAAATTTCAGTAAAATCAATATTACAGTTATTACTGCTTCTTTTATTTCATTTCCTCAGTTGCCTGCTAATTTCCCTCAAATTAAGTCTAAGGTTCTGACTGCAGAAACCGACAAAGGACAAAAGGAGTAAATACTGAAATGATTGTTAACACTTATTTTTTTGCCTGTTTGTGTTCTTTTGTAAATTAGCTGTCTTAGGGTAGAATATATTTCATATTTATTTATGCTTTTTATAGACTAAAGACGCTTTATAGCTTCTTTATCTCATTAACAAGTAAGAAATGTAGTTCCAATTAATTACATGCAGTGACATAGATATGGACTGTAATTAATCCCACACTGGTGAAATTCACTTGTGCGCAGGGGACAGGGTGAAAAAGATGTATTAGAAAAATAAAAATAGGAAAAATGGTGTACAAAAAAATGCCAAAATACTATACTGTGTACAAATGATTACTATATACAGTAAAAATACACAGTGCAGTGGGAGTGATAATAATACATAAATATATATATAATTTATTTTTTTTTTTAAACAGTGTTTGACGGTATGTGGTTCAAAGTTCAGAAATCATTTGTAGGTCTTATTTTCATTGTGTTTTTGACATAAACGCCCTCTTGACTAATTAATCTGCCCCTCTCCATCCAGAGTGCAGCCCTGGCTTCTCCCTCTTCCTGCAGGGTTGTGTGAAGTTGTGTCCGCCAGGCTTCACGTCGGGGCAGCAGCTCCTCAACCTCTCTCTGGAGAACTGGGTAGATTTGTCCTCCGTCCAGGCCTGCCTGCCCTGCAATCCTGCCTGTCTCACTTGCTCTGGCACCGGGCCTGCAGATTGCCTGTCCTGCCCTCCTCACAGCCATCTGGTCTTCACCTCCTGTTTGCACCAGAACCAAGTCCAGCGAAAATCCCCTCTAACTGGAGGACTCCAGGGTGACGGAGCGCAGCCAGAAGGTGCGAGTCCAGCAGCAGCAGACCACGACAGCAAAGTAGCTGAGGAATCCCCAGGGCTCATTGTAGCTCCGTCCACTCAACTCCCCGCCGTCGTGGCCCTTCTCAGCTGTGCCTTCATCCTGGCTGCCTTCGTCGGGGTCTTCTTCTTGCTGCAGTTACGCTCAGGTGGCGCTTCTGCCTGGAGGACCAAATTGCCCTCTGGATTTTCAGAGACGAACGGGGTGCGGGTGGGCTTTGGTTTTGGCTTCCGGCAGGGACGGGAGAGAAAGGCAAGGATATGCTACAAAGGAATCCCCACTGTGTGGGCAGATGAGGACATGATTGCCTACGAGTCTGAATCAGACAGCGAGGAAGTGGACGGCCACAGCGAGAGAACAGCTTTTATTAAGACGCAGAGCTCAATCTAGCTGAAGCTGCATCTGCTGTTGTGGTGTCTGACACGACGACAGGTCTGACTGCACGGAGCTGATTCGTGAAGCAGAATCGCACAGGTTCAGAAAAACACAAAGCGCAGGCCTTACTGTCCCATCAGCACCCCATCCAAACGCAAAAGAGCCAATCATTTTTTTCTTGTATTTATTTGCTACAAGCTTCATGTGTATTTTCATGTATTTTATCTTTTATTTGATTGATGTCAGTTGTATTGATAAGCTTTGTCACCATTTAAATGTATTATGCAGCTAATTTACTTTGCAAATATTTTTCAGAGTGCTTTCCAGAAAATGAGTACTGCCACACCCTTAAAGCTTGGATACCTAACAGGAGAGAGTTAGAGACAGAATGGTCTAATATTAAGCAGCAGAGACCAAGATATCCTGAGTTTTGAAGAGGCACGACCATGACGTTGTGCAACTCCACCTAGAATAAATAAACATACCTTATTTCAATTTGGCAACAATGCAGTGCATTCAGCGCGACTGCTATTTTTGATCAGCCACTAGAATTCTCCTTCTGACCGCCTGTGCGTCTGTGACGGTTGCTGTATCTCCACCACCAGAGTGCAAACTCAAAATTATCCTGTGGCCATATGCTGCAGGCGTGCAAAGGCAAACAAGGAAGATTAGAATATTTTGGCTTTTATTGGAATATTTTCTCTCTGATGCCTCGGGATATTATAGCATTACAGAGACAAGGGTGACAAAATCACAGTCCACACCACCAGGAAGGTGTTCCTGTGCTCGTGGTTGTGTTCGCGGCTTGATGCAGCGCCTTCGGGCACTTCCACTGAAAAGTGCATTCTGGTGTTTTGTGTTGTAGTTTGTAACCCTCTGCTCTCATCACTGTGGATGATCTTTTATGTGACATCCTGGTCAGTTTGAGAGGGAAGTTGTTTACTCGAGGCATTTGAGGTCGCGATGAATCTGCCGAGACGCATGTGATGAAAAGGGCAGCTCCAGGGAGTGACTTAAGAAAAAAAATAGTGGGAGTGCTGGAAGCACTCGAGAAGGTCAAGCTGACCTTGAAGGGGAGCTCAAATTCAGGTTGGGTATAGTTTTTGCTTTTTATAGACAAAGTTGCAAACTTTTGATTGCATTTGTAGGTCAAGGCCCCAAATCGATGAATACGAGTGTCGAACTGAATATCTGTAAATTTCAAACTATATAGATCGACTATAGATCGAATTTCCCAGAGGAACCCACCCGAGGGATTAATAAAGTTCTATCTTATCTTATGTATCTGCACTTGGTAATGCATGGTTCCTGAGGGGGAGAAAAAAACAGCGCCCCCTAGCATAAAAACTAATCAGAACTCAGAGTAACCTTGATGGAATCACAGTAGTTAATTATTCAGGCTTAGCAAAGCACCTCCAGAAGTAAAGGCCTTATTCAGAGGCTGAGAAGCACATGTGCCAAGCAGTGTGTAGAAATGTGTGGATTGGCCCTTTACTCCATTACTTTATCTAAGGCATATCTAATTTGTCTCAACTACAAACATCAGGCCTCTACTTCAGGTGGACTTCTAATATATTGCTGTTGTTATCTTTCATCAGAGACCTGAGAGATTGCAGGCCAGGGGTTATAAAGTTGACTCGCTGTTCATTAATGCTAAGAAAAACTTTAAATTGAGGATTTCTGCAGCGCGCTGGGACAGCATAATAAAACATCCCCGCAGGTTGTTTGATAAGCAGGAAACTGTGGAGGATGCTCTGTTTTCAATCAAGCCTCAGTGGGAATTTCCACTGCAGCGCAGACACCAGAGATGGTACATCAATCACACAGAAATGTGCCGAATTACAGTGAGCAGCACTGTTTTTTAATGACATTAACCACTCAGCCCAAAAGCTGCTTGGCTAACCTTGTGAAGCATTGTGCCACTTGGTTACTGCGGGTGAGAAACAATATAATTCTCTCTTCATTTTCCCCCCAGAGTGTGCTTTATATTGATTTTGGGGCTTCTCTTTCAGAACATCTTCATCAAAGTGAAGCGTCCTCCCTTTCTGCTGTGAACACCAAACATAAAAGGACAAATTCATGCTTTATATTCTCTCTATAACGACGTAGACTTGCAGTTACGTGGCCAAATCAAAGCCTTTGGATCCAAAAGACCAGAATGGCTAGTGATTAAAAAAAATCAGAAAATAATGATTCAATTTCCTATGTTTGTTTTTATTTTTAATCCTTTTTTTTACTATTTAACTGATGATGGATGTTATGTGTTGAGATCAATTTCATGCTGGATTAATTAAAAAAAAAAAAAGTTTGGCTGTTGTAAAGCATGTCTGTTTTTTACTGCCAGGGTTGAAACCTTTTATAGTTTTTTTAATGCATCTTAAATTCAGCCCCTGACATACAAACATCCCAGAGAGAGCAGATGGTTCCTCGCTTCTTCATGGTCATATATCAGTGTTGCCGCTGCGTTTCCTTCACTCCTGGCATTGAGCTTTAACAGAGTGCCAGCCTTCTTTTTTCCTGCCTGCCATCCAGTTGCAGCAGTGAGCAAAGCTGCCAAGAACGCCTTCAAGAAACTGTTCCCTCAAGCTTCTGCGTAGCGGGCCCCTTAAAGTTTAAATTAATATAAATGGAGGTTTGTATGCATGGGGGAAAACACCAGGCGGGCGGCGGCAGCAGCTTTGTTCATTAGCAGCTGCCCCCCCTCTCTACAGAGGTGCAGGTAACTGGGTTCATGGGTAAAGGTACATTCATTTTGTGGCCCATAATTAGATCTGCCGGGAGAACTCGCTGCACAATTCAGCACTTCCTGCATGTCATGTTTTGCATTTTAAATACAAACCAATTGCGTGTGCAAATTGTTTTGTAGATTTTTTTTTTTTTACCTTTTGGAAAAAGTGGATGAATTTGAAAGCCCTTTGTCTCCATCAGTCCCACCGCCATTACTCGTGTGTAGGAGTGGGTATTTTGTTTGTCCTTTCTCCCCCCCCACACACACACACACACACACACACACCATGCCCTTTAGCTTGTAGTAATTAGCTGCCATGTACTGCGACAATGCTGTCTACTAACTAGACTTGGCAACAGTACACATTCCCTTAATTAAAACGGGACTCACGAATCAGCTCCTCATTAGTTGATTTCACAATATAATGCTCTGGACTCAGGGCCTCATTATTCCAGCAGGTCATGTTATCTGTGCTGTTGCTGAACATCATAAAGTCACCCGTCATATCCCCCCCCCCTTCCAAAATGCGAGGAGAGGCACCATTTTTCCAGATCCCTGATCCATTTTTATGTAGCAGCAAAGAAGCATTTTATGTTCGACTCCTGCTCGCTGCTGTCAACCATACCATCAACACCTTCACCTCAAAGTGGTAAACATGGGAAAACTTCCTGCTGCTTTTAACTACATGTGAGTTGAAGTGTAAACTTTAATGCTCGCCTTGACAGATATGCCGAGCGGGAGACCGACTGCTGACAAGTGAAGCATTGGACAGTCTAAGAGGGTTGATATGCCGCTGCACTTCTCTGACTGACAGCATCCACAGACATTTACACCGACTCAATGTTGCCCCCTGCTGATCATCACTTAATCTATTTAGGAACAGCATGTTAATTATCCAGATATTAATGAATTAAACAGTTGGGGAGGGGGGTGGAAGTATTAGAAGATAAAGAGAGGCCTTTACAAAAGGCTAACTTTGTGTTTTCATCTTTATTCGCGTCCCATCTCTTTTTGTTCTTCTGCAGCGTTAATCCCCCGTGAATAACAAATGCAAGTAGAGACTTTCATATATTACCTCTGAACAAACAAAAACAGTGCTACAAGAAGGAGAGGAAAAAGAAAAAGACGTTTACACAGAAAGTCAGACGCACATCGAAACAGCAGGGGAGAAGTTTATGACAAGGTTATAAGACACCGGGGAGAAAGTGCGATGCGAGATGAAGTGAAATCTGCTGACAGAAATGTTAACCACAGCTGGAGGGGAGAGAAGGGTTCTGCGGCGCTCACCGTGAGAGCCAGAGCAGAAAGTATTGAATTGTGGCGGGAGCAGCAAAAAGCAGCAGACCTCCCATGGAGGAAAAAAAGGAAAGAAAAGTGAATATAGAGACGGGGTAAAGCGACGCGACATGGTGAGGCTAAGACACAGGTGGGGGGCTACGAGATGTCTGTCCTAAGCTTTGGACACTGATGACATCATCTATGGATGCTGTGAAAGAGCAAATGAGGGTAGGAAAGGCTGGAGACAGCCTTGGGGTAAGAAACACTGTGGAGATCAAATACAAAGAAGTGCAGCTCATCTGAAGAAACAGACTTGATGTTTTGGGGATTGGAGGTGGATCAGTTCACCCAAATTAGACCAAAGGCATAACTGGACTTCAGTAGTACGTGGCTATGCAGGCAGTGTTTGTATTAAGAGTCGAGCTTCGGAGATCTCTCTTAAATGTCAATGAAATTCTTCTCCCAGACCCATTTTAATAAAACATATGCTACATGTTTATGGCTTCCTGTTTTCTGCTCAGTATACTGACAAGTTTTTAGGAAATAATGAAACCAAACCGAGCAATCATAACAAAGCAAAGCAAATGTTTTCCCCCTTTGTTTTCGGGGGCGTTCCCGAGCCTCGATCCACAATTTAGTTTTAGCTTTTCGCAGCTGAGAAGGTCTCACATTCACACTCTAAATCAGCCGTGCTCTTTTGTTTCTGCGACAAGATTGCAGCAGCAATTTTAAAGCAGCAGCAATTTTAAAGCAGCAGTCAATGGGGGGGGAAAAAAAAAATCAAAAATCAAATTAAAATAGCTGTAATGGGGTGGTGTGGCAGAAATCTGAGCGACATTTTGGAGCGTACCGTAATAGTCACTGTGCCATCCATGATTAGATGAAACAAAATTAAATTAAATTGAGAAACATTCTTTTCTACTTAGCTTTTTAAAGCACTATCTGCTACAGTTCGAAGTCTTAATGAACGTAATATTTCTGGGAATCTGGACAGAGCAATGCACAAAACAAAAAGTGCAATAAAACTGAGTCACCTTGGGCTCTGGAAATGGTGATGATAGTTTTACAGCCTTGCCATAATGAAAGTAACGTAATAGAAGCCCTGAACAGATTTCTCAAAACAACCTGCATGGCCACATATTATTATACCTCCAAAGCCTCAGTTGATTGATCGTTTGGAGTTGTGTTTTTTTTCTTGATATAAGGTGCAAATCAAAAGAACACCCTTCAAGAGTTTCCACACCACTAGAAGTATAAAAAAAAAAAAAGTATTTGCTTTTATAATTCGGATGAACTGACCACGTAATTTCTGATATTTCCCGTCAATGTGAATTATTTTCCTTCAGTGAAATGAGGCACTGCTCGACAGACACCCACATTAACTAATGATAATCAACAGTATTATAGATGGTCCCTGAAAGTGTACACCTCGAAAATGCTCCCATTTAAAAAAACAAAAACAAACCTTCATATATTCACATAAACATACTCCACAGACACACAGGTACCAATATATCTGCTGCATGGTATATATGAGGTATAGTCTTTGTCTAATCTTCTACTGCATACAGTATGGTACAGCCCAGACTCTCAACAGTGAAGTACGAGCACAGGAACGACCAACGGGAGCTTGAAATTCAGTCTTTCCACACATTTTTCATCCGCGAAGAGGAAGCTCAGGAAGAGGAAAAAGAAAGTTTCCTATCTACAAGGAGAAACAGTGGACAGGTAAACAGTCACCCAGTATGATTAATGATCGCACGGTTATCACATAGTGACCAAAGTGGGAATCGGGCAGCGTAAGGATTCGCAGCTTCTGTCTCCTGGTAAGTTGAGATATGAGAGGAAAAAAAAAAAAGACCTCACATTCTCTTTGCTGCAGCTGAGACTGTCAAAAAGGAGGGGGAAAAAAAATGTCAGTCAACCTTATAACGGTTCAAAATCAAAACACTGATCTGTTTCATCTTCGCTGCATTTGTGGGGGAAAAACAAAATTAAGAACCCATTTTCTAAATAAAGCTTTGCAAATTGCACTCTGATGTGACACGCGTCCCGGGCTCTTTTTTTTGTTGCCATTTTGAATATTTACATTCAGTAGTTCAGTGCAGGATGAAGCAGAGATAGAAAAAGAAACTCCTTGCAAAGGAGAACCCTTAATTTTTCGACCACCAACACTGAACAGACACCCGGCTGAATCTGATGAGTGATTCTGGCCGTCTTTGTCATTTTGGAACAGCTAAAAGTTCACCCGGGTTCAGCTGCTCTTTGAGCCATCTGCAGTAACGGCTATCGCCTGCCCCCTGCTGTGCAGTCAGTCCTGTTACAGTGGACCCTCTCTCTCTTGTAGCGTTTGTGGTTCTACTTTAAAACAAACAAAAACAAAAAAACAGAGTCCCAGACCCCTCCGTTGCCAGCCCATGCTCGGCGTGAGAGGTGGTTGTTGGTCCGAGGAGTCTTAGAGGGTTTCTTTTGATCGGCACCGTTCTTATCGCAGCTTGAGCTTGAAGGCAGAGATCTCCATGGGATCGAGGGTGATGGTGGTGTTGTTGGCCAGAGGCGTGCCGGAGTGCATCAGAGTTAGTGACATGGGCTGAAGCAGCTGTAGGTCCAGGTTCTTGAACAGAGCCGACACGCTCAGCTGGACAGGGAGAAAAAGGAGGAGAGCTTCAGAGAAAAATACAGACAACAGGAGACTTCTTTTAAGCAAAAGCAACACAGCGCAAGATGAACTGAAAAATCCACATCTACAGGAGGCTCATCAACAAAATTGACTATGTAATTATCAGCAGTAAAAAGTGCTGCCAATAAAAAAAATTATTTGATCATTGTCAGTGTACTCACAATCAGCGTGGATTCTGTCGCAAGGACTACTTTAATCAACAGATGCTTTGGCAATCGAGTCAAAATTACTTATTTTTAAATGTCATTAGGCAGGATAAAAAAAAGTTACATATGACAGAAATAACAATGCAGCTGAACTTAAATATGCTACAAAATAAACCTCTTATCATGCAAAAATGTAGAGTAGTTTTATCCTGCGTGCGAGTTTCAACCCTGACCTGTCCCTGAGTGGTGGTGCAGTTGAATCCGAGGTTCTGAGCTTCGAAGTTGCAATCCAGCGCGAGACGGTGAAGAATCAAAGCGGTGTATGGAGAGGGAGACAGGGGGTCCTGCTGCTCATATGCAAACACACGAAAAACGAATCAAGGTATGAAATGTCTAAAATAAAGTTTCCACTTTGTGAAAATCGTGTTTGTTTGTTTTTAAATGTGTCTTTATACCTGGCTCTGGATGCTGCGGAGGTTCACCAGGTGGAGGTCGCAGGGGAGGATAGACTTGAGGGGAGCAAAGGTTTGTAGAGGAGGGATGCCGCGTCTTTTGGGCAGAATGGGTAAGGCCAACACCTCATGGTTCAGCATGGCATTGGTCATGTGACTGAGTACAGATGGGAAGCTGGTTGTTGCACTGTCAGTCATCTGCAGGAGGGCAAAGTCAGATTTTAAAACAGTTGTGATAAATGACTGCAGAACTATTACAGCATCTTGAGTCACCTCTAGAGATGCTCTAGTGCCACTACATGAGGGACGGGCTCTAATTACTCTGTCCGAGCAGGAGGCGTATTTCTAATTCTAGTCCAGACAGACACGGTGCTAATCACAACTTTATGATGTGAACATTTAAATCACATGCATCGTCTCTGGCAACACTTCGCCCCCGTATGATCGACAGGTTAGATGGAGAGCCCGATGATAAAACTGCAACCGATGCCTTCCATTCTCTGCCAATGTGCATTCATTTACTTGATAAATGATATCATTTGTTTCTTTCAGTCGGGCT